TTTTTTATCCTCCCTTTTTGTTTTAAGCCACTAAATGAAAGCAGACACTCTTCTGGTCTCACTTAACTCCCATTTAAGGCTGAAAAGCCAATAGCAATACTCAGCTGCAAGAGTTGGTGATATTATACCAGCTCTTTGCTTGTGTATGTAAAATGTGAGCTTTTGCGCCTCTATTCCCAACTTCCACAGTGTTGGCACCTTTGCACATTTCAATTCCAGTTTTCTCCATGTGTCCACACAACCAACTCTTCCTCCAGCAGGTGGAGATACAAATACAATGAGAATTGTCAGGTTAAATCACCCCACTGTGCCCTACAACCCTGCAAAGAAATGGATAGGACCAAATGTGATGGTGCTCAGATCTCCCTGCTTAAAAGTGTTGGTAGATTAGAACACTACCTAGACACAATGCCATCTCTTGGTGAGGCATGACCTGAAAAGAAGAAAAGGTGAAACGGATGTTATTTTGCACGTTAAACGAGAAACTAACGAACTGTACTGGCAAAACAAACTCCTTGTTACTGACAAAACCCTGCAGGAAGCCACACAGATAAAACACTAGAAAAGAAAACTTCAGGGCATATCAGCTAGACAAATACCTCTCTGGGGGTTTCTGACTAGTAACCGCATTTGTCTGCTTTTAAACAAACTTAATAGAGCTTTTGGTATCTCACAGATAATTCAGTTCCTTCAAGCTTAGGCAAAAAATAGCCAGAGATAGGGATACTACATATTTTCCTTATAGGAAAAGCATTTGCAGAAGAACTCGGGCATCTGAGAGGTTTGCAGTTATAAATGCAACAACCACTGAGAAATTATTAAATTGCTGCTTATGTTTTAAAGTTCTGACACTGACCTACAGACTTTCTTGGCCTTCTTTCTTAGTGTTATCCTATATTAAAAGTGATCAGGTATTGGAACAGGCTGCCCAGGGAAGTTGTGGAATCACCAACCCTGGAAGAGTTCACAAACCATGAAGATAGGACCCTCAGTGACATGGCTTAGTGGTGGCCTTGGCAGTGCTGGGGTAATGGTTGGATTTGATGATCTTAAAGGTCTTTTCCAACCCAGTTAATTCTATGATTTTATAGGAAGAGACAATAACCCAGAGCTTGTTTGACTTGCCAGCTGTGACAATGCAAATGAATGGCAGATGCAGCATTCTGATCCAGCACTCTCAGACTTCCAACCCCTGCCTGCAAGCACCTGTCCTCCTACTAGACCATGCCTTCAGTTTACTCCTTTGTGTTATCCTGCTCACAAGTTTTAATATTCATTCAAAAATCACAGTGAGGAAAGCCACGGCTATAATCATGTCAACTAGACTGAAGCAGACTTCAATCCCAGGGTTTCTTGTGCATGTCAGTTATTCTGAGGGGTTTGTGCACTGACTCACAATCAACAAATGGCCTAAGCTCTTCCCAAGCTATTTAGATAACGAAAGAAGAAAGATACAAAACAGATTCCATGGCCAAAAGATGACTCACAGATTATCTGTGGTACTTAAGTCATTCCGAATTAGGGGACATGCGGATTTGGCCCCAGAGGATGTCTCAAGTTCCTGAGGATACTGGATGGTGACAGATAAACCAAACACCCTGCATCCTGTTTTATTTATCTGCAGTCTAACTATCCTGTAGATCTTCCAGGTCTTCTAAAGTTTCATGGAGTTCTATTTTTTTTTTAAGATACCACTGTGTGTAAGCGTTATTTTACTAGTAGAGCAGTCCTCTCCAGAAAAGAAATACAGCAGAGGACAATGTAGGGCATCTGTCAACAGGCACTGGGAGGCTACTAGGTCACTAAATACTCAAACTTTTGACAGCACTGTAAATGTATGTGGCATGGCAGTAGATAAGAGAAAAAAATGTGGCTGTCTTCCCAGTGACCTTATGAACTGGCAGATGGGATAGCAGTTCACAGTTTCATACTTTGCTTTTCCTAACATGGATGCTGGGGCGTGGAGAGAAGGACGAACTTCCCAAAGGAGTCTGAACAGATGTGGAATACAACACTCTGAATGCCACTCAAAGCACAAAGGGTACAACCAGTCACCCCCAAAATCCCAAATTCCTCAAAGCTCTCCCAGCATTTCTTAAACTTCCACACATGGGAAGCCTGCAGTTTGCTGTGATTCTCTGGTCAGAACTCTTTAGTTAGTGTCTTGCTCAGATTACTCTGCAGAGCAGCATCACCCATCAGCACTGCCAGGCACTCGCTCACTGGCTGTTTGAACCCGGCACCAAGAGGAATCTGATGCAGGAGCTGTGATGTTCAGAAGAGTCAAACTTCTCCTCAGGCTTTAGCAAGCTAGTCTCTGTTAACTCCACATCTGCTGCAGGCAGGTGGCAGCAAGTCCGCCCCACCTCCAGATTGTTCTCGGGCCAGTGACCTTAAAGAAGTGGGGGTCCTCAAAGGCCACGGTACCAGGGGCTGTAAATGTTAATCTTGATGAAACAGTGGAGAATCACTTGCTAGAGATGCCACACTAATACTATATTAAAAACCCAACTCTTCTGCATGCTGCTAAGAATTAACTTCTTTTTCTGTGAAAGGCTAGAGGAAATTTGCTGGGTTACTGCTGGGAATATAAATGCATTTTCAAAGAAAACTAGGTATCAGTCTCAGAGGCCATTCTTCATTTTGCATCCTTACCCTTAGACATCTGCCTAATGTAGCTGTCAGCCTGAGCTGATAGCCAGTGTTCTTCCATTACAAGCTGAGCAATCTCATCAACAGCTGAGTAACCAAGTGTAGCAAGTGCAGCACTAAGAAAGTGACAAGCCCTGTTAGAATAAGAGTTCCTGAATGAAAATATACACTGATGATGGCTCTTAATTCAAAGACTCGATACCCATTTAGGTTTGACTGTCAGAATGTGCTGAAACGTCCAGACCAATTTTATCACTTTATGCCCTAGCAGGATCCCTGCTACTGTTTTTAACCAACACTGTGTAAGAGGCTTTGTTCACTGCTTTACCTTAATTCTGAAAGCTTTAATTGAGTTTGGCACTTGCACAAAGTCTGAAGCTGACAGGTCGATCACTGCCACCACCTCTTATTTTCTCCAAGCAGAATTTATCTGCAGTGCAATGACACAGTTCTCCATGTTGCCTCTCGGTTAACTTCCCCCATGGAAAGGACATTAGAAAGCACAGTGGAAACACAGGTTTTTGTGCCAAGAGCTGCAGTAAGCATAAACAGCATTCCCTACAGCAGTTTTTACCACATGGTCTTTGGGACATCTCTGCACTTTCAGTACAGAGACACTGGAGCTGGTTTAGCATATGCTAACCCAGCATTAGAAATGTCAAGAGCATGGGGCAGACACACAGTTGCACCAGCTCCTATATCTGAAGCCTTAACTAGTAACTTAAGGGCACTTTTTATTGCAATCTACAATCAAATGTACATTATAAATTGATCTTTTTAGCCTACAAGTCAAGGTAAACTACTGAGTGTACAAAGCAGCTCAGCTTTATGGCTTGTTGAAGATAAAAATGTAAGCTCTGCTTTGAACTCCTGCTGCCAGGGCTGCAGAAATGAAGTTTCTCTTCACATATTTCTGCTGTTACTCTCTGAACTGCGCTAACTCTGGCCCAGCTTTTCAAAAGACAAGAGACATAGGCAGTGCTTGCAGAAATATGAGATACTTGAGCCTGCAAGATGCAGGCTTCCAGAAGAGCCTATTATTTAGAAGTTGCACCTGGAGTGGAAACCCCTCAGGTTTAAGCAGAGCAAAAGGAAAGTCGTGAAGTCTCTTGCCAAGGAGCACTCTTCATAGAAGGACTTGTGGGACTGGAGGCACCAGGAAGGGAACAAGGCCCCAAACCTCTTTAACAGGACATGGATTGGACTGAATGGGAAACAAGGGAGTCTGAGTCAGTAACAGTCTCCTTGGTTAATGCAAGGAAGATGAAAAGCCTAAATGTCTTGGAAGTAGAGCCCTCAACACCAACCCTCCACCCCTATCCCCCACCATCAACCCCTCCAGGCAGACTGCCAGGTCTCTAGGCCCCACTGCCAGGAAGCTGGGAAGTCAGGCTAATGAGAAACTGGACAGGTTTTCAATAAGCTATCTTGCTAAAACTAGGACACTTGTGCAATTTTGCAAAGGATGCTGAATCAGCACACTCACACGGAACAGCCTCACAGGGGAATTTCTCCCCAGACCACTGGCACACTTGGTAAATCCTAGGCAGTCAGCTGAGGAGACAGGGAGATTTCTCTCAATATAACCCAGTTTTAAAAGGCAAAGCAAAAACGGAGACATTAAAATCGCTTGGGATTAACACTGCTCTACAGAATGAGTTCATGCCATTTCTGCCCCCAAATTGAACTGCTGCTTTAAGCACCACAGCTAAACTCATTGTATATCCTTACCACCGATATGCTGTTCATGTCAGATGTGAACAGATATGCCCTGCACAACAGACAATGTCTGTTTCCCCATTTTAAAATATTAATCCTTTGTAATGCAGAAAATGTTCAGAGTTTTAAAGCATCCATCAAGTGCCATGAGAAAGGCAATATAACTAATCAGAAACAGCAAAAACGGAAACAAGATTAAGATATTGCAATTTAATTTCCTAGAAAATAATGTGGCAGCAGCTGTGCAAACTTTCTTGTAGCTAAAATAAATATGCTGAAAACAAGCAGGCAGCTAATTTACACTGTAGCATGTTTCCTCAGCAGACGAGTCTCCCAAGGAAGCTCTCGAGCTGTCCCTTACACTGTACAAAGGCTTTAACAATAGCCATAGAACAAACTGATTTGATAAGCAGGATGCTGAGCCATCTTCATTTGTTATGTTCAACTCATTAACTCTGAGCTCCTGCTGACACATCCACTACTCCCATCACATGTATGTATGCTCCTTGAACATAACAAATAACCAGCACAGCATTCATTATTCTTCTGACATACCAGACAAGACCCATGCAGCCCCTAGCAGCTGGATTCTTTGGTTTTGTCTCCTGAAGAGAGAGGCAAGGGCTTACCTGCTGATTCCAGTGACAGGCACCGTGCATTCTGTACAGTTTCCTCTTCTGGAAACTATGAAGTGGCCTTGTCCGGGCAGACGTGCTCCCACTAGCCACAGTGAGAGGTCTTAGCCTTGTCCTGTCTCTTCTTCTTTTCTTGATGTGCTGATGATCAAGCAACCAGCTGCCAGAAGAGGATACCTCTCTGTTGTCCGAAGCTCTGTCATTTCACGATTAATGGAGGGAGGAAATACAAAAAGTTTAATATGCTCCATATGCACAGGCCAGGATTTCATACACTGATCAACATTAGCTATCTAATTCTAAGAGAATTTTAGAAACACTAAAATGTTTTAGCACACTGTTTCAGGAAGCCATGTGTGCTCTGGTTTGCTCATTGATTAATTCTGTACTAGGTCACAAGAGGAAGTTTATCAATCTTGTTCACGTTTCAGCTTAGGGAAACAAATGTCAAAACAAAGTGAAGCCCTCGAGCATATCATGGGTTTTGGTTTTCCAAATTCAAGAACTCTCTAACACTTTTAACATGAGTTATATGTTGCAACTAGTATTTCCCTACAAACTTACATTCCATTCAAGACAGCAGTCGTGTGAACATAAAGGAGACCTTGAGTCCTGCTCTAATACTTTCAAGATTTTCTAGTTCTGCTCAAGAACAGAAACTTACATAAAGCTTTACAAACCAGTGCCTATTCAGTGTAGGGGTTGCAACTCATTGTGAAGCATCTGTATCAAAATTAATAACTCTGCATGCTTAGTTGAACCAACACAAGGCCATTAAACTTCACTTCAAGGGCTGTGCTAATAGAGCTCTCCAACAGAGCCCAAGCCCAGCCTGGGTGAAGCTCTTGAGGAGGAAGGAAACCCCAGCCTGTTTGTCTGTTTTTACAATCTAGAAGCTGGCTAGACCCAGAGAATTTGGAAGAATGCAAGCTCAGCTCCAGTCACAATGTGACAGGGTCTACATGAACACATGAAAAGCTTCATTTTAAGTTTAAACCTCACTCTTCCCTGCATTTCCTCAAGCTTGTCCCTTTCAAATCCTCCTCAGTGTTATAGCATCATCCTTCCACAACCTTACCTACACACACACTTGCTGTACTCACATCCATAGAGTAATACAGTATGCAATCATGAAAGTTATGTGACAACACAGGGCCAAGAGTAGTAGAATACCTTATGCATCTATGTGTAACACCTTTGGATAACTGTCACTGATCTACTGCCTGTCTCCTCACCAGAACAGGGAACACTGCAAGGCAAAACTCAAAACACCCTCCCATTTGGGTGGGAATGACTCCATGGGAAGAATGCACTTCACTTTTATAGGTATCTTGATTTTACTTTGTTGCAGCAGCAACATCTGCCTGCAGAGCTGAAGACCTGCTGCAAATAGCACTCAAGTGTGCATTTATTTTTACAGTACTGAAGACCTTGACTGTAACTGTTAACTGTCTGAGGAGTGCAAGTATTGGACATACTTTGGCCTTGGTTCATAGCAGGTCATCTGTCTGCACAAATGATTGTTTTCTCTTATGAACTTTATCTGGCAAGTCACGGTCTTACCAGTAAAGTCGTAACACAATCAAACATGAAAATGAATTCATGACAAGGCCATTTATCGACCTTTTTTGGCTAGCAGTACTCTTCTAACAGCACATTTTGATTAAGTAGAAGTGCTTGTTACGAAAGTGTGATTAAACACCATCCCATGCTGTGCTGGTGTGGTAATAAGGTTTGATGGGTTTGAATATGAGTTGTCCTTCTGACACATCAGAACAATCTTAATAAGCAACAGAGATGCAATGAAAAAAATGTGCTAATTAAAAGAGGGATGGTACAAAGTATTTAAAGGAACATATTAGTAAGTGCCAAGAAAAAGCTCCAGATACTGAAGCATGACATTCTTAAAGCTAACACCATTCTTAAAGCTTGGAAAAGAAATACAATGTTTGAAGTCCATGTAAGAGATTTAAAATACTTTCTCTGAATTCTCAAAAGCATTTTCTCTACAAAGTCAGACTGTGCCAAGCCCAACTTCTAGATTTCCTCATATCTCCCTCTTACAATAAAGACAACTCGGACACTTAAATTATAACAAAAAGCTCTTTAGTTTGGCTCCTCAGCTATTGTGACTCCTGCTCTTGTTCCGGTGGTCTGCCCAGATCTTTGATAATCTCTCTTCAGTCTCTGCCAGCTGCTCGACCCTCCTGTGCCTTACAGTAATGCACAGCTCCCTTTTTAGATGAGGCAGAGATCTCAGCTCTGCAGCTTGAAGCTCCAGTACACAGCGGTATAGTTTTCCTGCCACTTGTGTAAATAGGCTTTGCAGTCAAGGTTTGAGTTCTCCATTTATTTTGATCATAGTTTGGGTGGTTTTCAAAGTGTGATTCTGCAGAAGACTGAAACGAACCACTGCCAGATGTAGAATTCATTAATTTGCAGAAACTCTCATTTGAATGCTCATAGGTCAGCCTTTCTTGCTCTGTAGCCTAAGCTAAGGAACAGAGACCCTACTCATAAATACACACATACACAGTAAACCATTAGACAGGCACTATTTGTACTGAAGTAATAAACTTTTTCATTCCTCTCCCCTCATAAGAAAGTGGTTATCAGTAGCTTAGGGAACTGCTTCTATGAGCATCTACTCTCATACAATCCATCTTGCTAATCTTGGCATCTAGATTCAATTGAGCAGAGAAAAGCTACATAATAAAAGGAAGCCACTAATTAAATTAGACCGTGACAAATGGCAACTCAAGGTTACCCACAATTAATCAACCAGGAACTGTACATGCACCTCCACTTGCATAAATAAATAATATTTAATATTATATATATATAATATATATATTATAAATAGCACAAGTAACCAACTACATACTGCAATCAACCAACCTCAAAGCATCTCATGCTGAGACTTGCCTTAAACATGCACTATTTTATCTTTCACATCAAGAGCCTACAACTAATTTCAAGAATTTACTTAAGTAAAAATCACTATCATCCTTTTTTTGTCTATTCAAAAAGAACAAAATCACCTTATTTTCCATTTGATTTTGATTTCTACTTTGTCAAGCACTGAACACAGTCAGAGTGAGCTCTAGAAAGAGCAAGGAGAGAAGCAGCCAATAAATGAAGTTACATACAGTATATGACTTTCTCAATTGATTGCACACAAGACTGCTACAACAAAATACCACAGAAAACTGAAACACACTCAAAAACCTATGAAGTAGGCAGGAGTGAATATCCCTGCATGAGTCTCGTAACTACTCTATATCGTACTTAATTACTACCTTTAATGAACAGTATTTATTTGCAGACTTCTTTGGGCTTTCCTATGTCACAAGAAGAAAACAACCAACCTTGGAGACACTGGCCCATGAGCAAACAACTGTGCTGGTCATAAAATGGAAAGAAGACTGATTTTGAACGCAGTGCCTGATAAATCAGACAAGTAGTGGCTTCAAGTTACATCATTAAAGTCCCTGATCATGAAGTCAACATCACACACTCCCAAAAACTTTTCAGAAAGAACCCTTCCTCATCTGCTTTGAGACAGAGTCAGGCTTCTAAGAGCCTAAATGACTTTCTTCTTCCACATGCCCATCTCCATTGGCAGCTCCTATTTCAGGGCTATTTTTATTCCAAAACTCTGAGGAATCTTCCAGTTTTCCCCTATATTATCTGTAAACAAGTGATACATCGGGCACATGACTGCTACGTGACAGGACCCCTTCATCCTGAAATTTAGGGCACAGTCACACAATCGCTTTGGAACAGACGGTAGTTAAAGAAGCTGCCCATCCAAGCTGCTCATTATAATCTCTTTTAGGGAGGCTATGGCAAAGCTGCTGAAACAGACGGCATGGCCAACTCTTCCTGGAGCCAGGAGCCAGGGAATTATGTTCTGCTGCAGACACTGCCAGAAAGCCCCAGCTCTAGTAGGGAACACTGTCTTCATCCACCTGATCTCAAGATCTATGAATAACTGCAATCCCTCCATCCTCAAAGATTGCATTACGAGTATCTCAGGAGAAATACCCAGCAAACCTAGGTCTTTCATAAGACAGAACTATACTCAGTTACCTTAATGCTGTTTTGAGATTAATACTGATTACAGCCTCTACTCTCTTTTAAAACCTTTGAATAAAAAATGGAATTACTAGGAAGTGTGGAGTAGCACTGAGAAACACTTGTCTGCAGTATTAATTTCAAGCTGCTACATCCATCAAGAACAAAAGACCACAACTGGAAAAATGCTACCTCCACATTCCTGAAAAAGTAGCTGGCAAATATAAAATTTGGCCTTGTACTGAAGACTGATGTGCTTAAAATTCATGTAGCTACCACAAAACCTGACATACTCTACTCATCTAGTAAAGTCTAAATTCATTGCTTTTCCAGAAATAAAGTTGCGCTTGTCATGACAGAATCCACTAAGTCTGAAATCATCAGAAACAGTGTGTTACTTACTCTATCCTTTCACTACTTCACGGATATATTCATCTTCCCAGTGCTGCATGCTTTTATGCTGTCATTAAGAACAAAACCAAACCCTACTACTTTCAACCTTACCAGCAGGACCTGACTTCTCTCGAAGCTGGCAGTAAGGAGGGCTCTTTTCCTGACTTATTGCTGGAATAATGATCAGTTCCAGCTACATAACTTTAACAAAAATTATTCTCAAAAAAAAAAAAAAAAAGAAAGAAAAGAAAGAGGTACCATCCTGTCACTCACCTGAAGGAGATGCCATTGACCAGCTGTCTATGCCTACAGGCCTTGGATGAAAGAGATGAAGAAGCTGGAGACAGATTGAGTGGAGCAATCAGGCTGCTGATGATTTCACTCAGTTGTGCACTCTGGAAAATAGTAAAACAACAAACAAAAGTCAATGAGACTTTTTTCCAGACTCAATAGCTCAAAGGTCCTAGGCTTCTTTTTGTTGTTTTCCTACTTAGGATTCCAGCTGCACACATCACGGAATGATGATACTTAGTTTCTTGTGAATAATCAAGTGTGGCACAGTTTTTTCTTTCACAATTACTACGTTCAAATATACAGCCCCCCTCCCCAAACACCCCGACAACAACAGGAAACCAACACAGCCCTGAACAACAGCCAAGGACATCTGAATATGAAGTACACAAAACATGTAACTGATCTTAGCACTTAACCATTTGTGAAAAGGCAAAAGGAACCAGAAAACCCAGAAAACCTCACAGCAGATATAACAGTTGCAGCCCAGAGCTGCTAACTAGCCATTCAACAAGCATTTCAAGAGGGGAAAAAAACAACCAGTCTGCTGTCTACTCATTGTATATTTTACTCACTCAAAGTAAAACTCGTATTAAAAGAATCCTCTTCATTCCTCACTGTAGTTTGACAAAGGTGTATGTATAAAAGGAAGTGTAACTACAGGAGGACTATTGTAACTACAGACAGAATGGCTAAAATCTTCTGGTATCCTCAAGAACAGCAAGAAGCAGCCACCACCCTATAGAAAGCCAGACTTTCAGAACTGCCCTGTAACCAATGCAGCTGATTTTTAAGATTAAGAGTTACTCCTTATAAAGCAATGAATTGTGGACTGCCTCCAGATTAACATTTCACAATGATTTTTTTTTTTGTTTTAAATGTCAAACCTTACAGGCTATTCTGACAATAAATGTAGCCTTCTTAGAGGAAACTGGTCTGCACACTAAACAGAAATTAAATGTATCTGAAGTGGCACACTTTATTTATAGAACTTGGTTGGATTTTCATTCAGAACAAAGACTGTTTAAAACAAGAATTGCTAAAGGTTACCCAGAGAGTTTTCTTTACATTTTGAGGGCCTACTATTTATATAGAAAGAGGCAGAAAAATTGATTTTCCATTTCATTACAACTACTGTCTTTTTGGTTCAAGTGATGTAGTCAGGTAAAAAATTCATGTTTTTAAAACACCGTATAGATACGGAAAAGGACTTGAAAAACAGCATGAGTAAAAATTGCCAGGCTCAGTCACTCTGTATTCCTTATGATTTGGTTTTTGTTCACAAGTAAAAGTACTTATCTTTAACATGCAAGTACTTTTAACATAGGACTGAACAATTCTATGGGAATATCTATAGATTTCTCCAGCCTGCATCATCGCTACTCCTGACACTGAGCAAGAAGAAACTCAGACCTTCAGAGTTCAAAATTTACAGAACTGGGACTCAAACAGCAAATGATACCCCAAAGCTTTTTGTGGTGTAAGGGGAAGAAATCTGATGTAATCTGTGAGATGTACTGAATGAACACCTTTACTTCCAAGTAATTTTCAGATCATTAGAGTTCTTGGACCTCTGTAACTGCTTGGGAACCAGTATTTGCCAAATGTCTTACTGAAAAGTGCATTTAATTCTCCAAGTAATCACTTAAAGAGGGGACATTCACCACATTCTAAAAATGCTCCCTGGTCTACCTTGTGCAATTGCCAGCACTGTGCATATAGATGTCCCATATCATTGCTTTCTCACTCCTGTCTGTCATGGGTAAGATCTGCCAAACAGGGGAAGCATTTTAAGAACAGAAAAGTATGACTATCAAATAAGAAAAACTGGCACAGAGATTCAGAAACAAGCATCAGTACCTAAAGCTACTTTTACCCCATTTAAGTCTCTGACCAAGAATTCACAGACAGCAACAGAGAAACATACTAATGCACCACACTGGCTTTGCCAGGTTTGCTTTACACTATCTGCATGCTGAAACCAAATTTCCTCTACCTCCTTCAGCAAGGTGAACCTACCACATTCTTTATGTACTTTCTAGCAAAAGAAAACCCTCCTGGAGTCTAGATCCTATTTCCTGGAATTAACCTTGGAATTTACTTGTTTTGAACACGGTGACCCACAACTCCACCCGAAGCCATGCCTGTTAAGTACCTGGAATTCCTCAGCCCTGAGCTGGAGCTTTAAAAGGTATACCAACCAATTACATTATGTTGGGGCTTTTTGTTTGTTTCAAGTGCAACATACCTCCATCTTCAGCTTTTCTCTTTCATCTCACCAAAGTACTTCCTGAAACAATCTGTGGTAACTCTCCACTGACTCTATACAGCAGAGGCAGGTTTGTGGATAGCTGTTAGAAGTCGTTATGTGGCCGCTTTGATGGAAACAAGGCGGTAACACAGACACATCAGAAGTAAAAGGTTAATTTGTAAATCTGGTGTACAATGTAGTTATTTAAGCCCTTCAATTCATCAGCACCCACTTCGGGACTGCAAAATATCTTCCTTTTTGGAAGTAATCACCATGGAACCTGCCCTGTTTCTGAAGGAAATCATTTGGCTCCATTGACCATTCCGTTCTCATTTTACTTTACCTGTTTCTCTATGTTTCGTAAGAGCAGGGTAGGACTGCTGGGTGACATTTCAAAGTCATGCTCCGGCAAAGAATCCTGTCTCTCAATGGCAGCTTGCGAATTCCCTGTGGCGTTTAATAAAGCTTCTTGGTCTGTCAATTGTATTTGCTTCTTCAAAATGTCTTTTGGAAATGGGAATTCTTCTAAGATCACCATCCCCTAGACAACAGCAATTGAACACAGTTGGTTGACAACGGATTAACCCTCCTAAATAATTTCAAAGGGGCAATCAAACCAGGCACATCCACCTTAAATCCTTCCAACACCTCTCTGAAACACTTAAACTACTAAAGATTTTAAATACACATCATAACTAAAATATAGGAATAGTAGGTGTTTTCATTAATGAAAAGCTGCACCATATGTACTACTCCTTAGATCAGCTATCACCCTATGTGCTATACCACTGCTTCAACAACTGTGCCAAAATTCAAATCAAAAGCTCATACTTACTAGAGCAACAATATGATCATTTGCCTGCTGATTTAAGAAGAGGTTTTTCTCTAAGGAACGGCCACCCTTGGATATGAAGTTAGTTATAGTCATTGAAGCCAATAAATTCTGCAGAGGCATTTTAAAGTGCTCTATTTTCCTTCTTTCCACCCATGCTCTAAGCAAAACATCAAGGTTGGGAGGGGGTTATGTAGCAGAGATGCATATAATTCAAACCAGAAGCTTTTTATTTAATTTCATGATACATATTTGTAAGGTGAGCATTTTTGGAGTTTCATAATGACAGGAGCAGCTATCCTAAATATTCTAGCAATCTCACTGCTTTTCACAACAATCTGCACAAATGTTGTAGCGGACATGGTATATTGTCTAGAATGCCACCTCATAAGATAAATGTAACTTTACATGGTAGGAAAATAAGAGAGTTTCATAAATGGAGCTAGGAAACAAATGTCCCCATTGTGTTTTCCACATGATAAGATTTAGAAAAACAGAAGTGTCAAATACACTCCCAGGTAACATCTTACTTGATTCGTTTTAACAACTTCAAATGCTAAACAAAGAAAAATACCCCTTTGTAACAGTCAAAACCAGTTCCTCAAATAGTCCCTTCATTTGTCATTATCTTGAGCAAATAAATTTAATACTTAGAAAAAGCTATTAAGCCTCTGCAGGCTTTTTCCAAAGAGAAAAGGAAAGAGCTTACTTGCTTTTAAGTACTGACTGTTACACAGCTATCGAGCAGATATTGAAAGAATAGGACCATTCAATTACACTGCCTCAAATTTTTCTTTCTAGTGAGAACATTCGACTAAAACCAAGGAAGCTTGTCATCAAGTGAACACAAGGAACCCCCTCTGTTATTTCTTTAAGCATGACAGACCTCACCTAGGTGGTGGCTGTGTAAAATTAAGGATCCTGTAGTTTTACCCGCACCTTGATTTTTGCCTCAGCAGCAACTTGCCCTAATGCAATGAAAGCAAGTCTCAAAAAAACGTAAAATCACAGAAATGCTTGGGCTGGAAGGGTCCTTCAAAGCTCATCTAGTCCAACTCCCCCTGCAATGAGCAGGGACATCTTCAACGAGATCAGGTTGCTCAGAAGCACATCCAGCCTGGCCTTGAAAGTCTCTAGGGATGGAGCATCCACACCTCTCCGGGCAACCTGTGCCAGTGGTTTAGAACCCTCATTGTAACAAATTTCTTCCCCACATCCAGCCTGCATCTCCCCTCTTTTAGTTTAAACCCATCACCCCTCATTCTGTTGCAAGGGGCCCTGCTAAAATGTCTCTCCTCATCTTCATAGGCCCTTTTTAAGTTTTGAAAGGCCGCAGTAAGGTCTCCCCCGAGTTTTCTCCAGGCTGAACAAACCCAGCTCTCTCAGCTTTTCCTCATAGCAGAGGTGCTCCAGCCTTTTGATCATTTTTGTGACCCTTCTCTGTACTCTCTCCAAAAGGTCTGTATCTTTCCTGTGCTGAGGACTCAAGAGCTGGATGCAGGACTACAGGTGGGCTCTCACCAGAGGAGAAGGGCAGAATCACCTCCCTTGACCTGCTGGCCACGCTCCTCTGGACGCAGCCCAAGATACAATTAGCTTTCTGGGCTGCAAGCACACACTGTGGGCTCATGTCCAATCTTTCATCCACCAGTACCCCCACCTCCTTCTCCTCAGGGCTACTCTCAATCCCTTCATTCCCCAGCCTGTATTGATACAGGGGGCTGCCCCAACCCACTCTTTGAAGTGGAGACTAGGACAAAACATTAAATAGTCCTGTTCTCAATGTCTCTCTAACTTATTCCTCTGTTTGAGTTACAGATTTAAAGCTGAGAACAAAGATATTCTCTAAAACCAAATGTAGTTGCTCAGAAACTTGCTTCAGTTCCCAAAAGGGGCACAGAGATTGTGAATTTCCATCAAGTCAACACTAGATTTTTCCACATGCCTTTAGTAGCCCATCATCTGTGCTTTTCCATTTACAGAAGATGGAAACAAATCCTGACAGTACCACACTACAATCTGTAGACCAGCAGCAGTTACAAAGTATGCAGTATGTTCAAGGAAATTCAAGAACTGATATACTTTTCAAGTGCCACAACAGGAGGAGAGAAGCTAGCTCAACAGCTTTAGACTTTCTAGAAATCAGAATCTTTATGGTTTTTTTAAGCAAAAGAATCATACGCCATGAACACAGAGAGAGGAAAAATCCCCCTCACAAACGTCTAAATCACAGATTCCGAAATCAGAGAAACAAGAAGGCATACAGGAAAAGTGGTGAAGGAGGAAGACCACACACACACACACACTTCCAATGGAATTCTTTTTAAGTTGCAGAATCTTGTTGACCAAACATGGAAATGGGAAAGCAGAAAAGTAGGAGAAAACTGACACTGTATGAAAAGAGAGAGATGGAACAGGAACAGAAGAAAACTGACTATATAGGAATTCTAAGTTAAATGGGTTCCAAACAGAGTGGGTTTTGGCAATAGACTCCCTCCCTCTGCCCCCATCCCCCACCCCCCAAATGAAATTGTTTCATTTTGCAGATACAGGCTGGATCAACGGGCTGTGGCCAGTGGGATGAGGTTCAACAAGGCAAAGTGCATTTGAGCCACAATAATCCTATGCAACGCTCCAGGCTTGGGGAAGAGTGACTGGAAACTGCTCATGGGAAAGGACCTGAGGGTGCTGACTGACAGAGCTGACCATGAGCAGCTTGTGCCCAGGCAGCCAAGAAGCCACCAGCATCCTGGCCTGTATCAGCACCAGCGTGGCAGCAGGGCCAGGGCAGTGACTGCCCCCCTGCACTGGGCACTGGTGAGGCTGCACCTTGAATCCTGTGTTCAGTTCTGGGCCCCTCATGACAAGAGACACTGAGGTGCTGGAGTGGGTCCAGAGAACGGCAATGGAGCTGGTGAGGGGCCTGGAGTGCAAGTGTGATGGGAAACTGCTGCTGGTGAGGGGTCTGGAGCACAAGTGTGATGGGAAACTGCTGAGGGACCTGGGGGGGTTTAGTCTGGTGAAGAGAAGGCTCAGGGGGGACCTCATCGCTCCCTACAACTGCCTGACAGGAGGATGGAGCCAGGAGGGGCTGGGCTCTGCTCCCAAGGAACAAGGGATGGGACAAGAGGAAACGGCCTCAAGCTGCACCAGGGCAGGTTTAGATGGAGCTGAGGAACAATTCCTTCCCCACAGGGTGCTCAGGCATTGGAACAGGCTGCCCAGGGCAGGGCTGGAGTCACCGTCCCTGCAAGTGTTCACACACTGTGTAGATGAGGCCCTCAGTGATACGATTTAGTGGTGGTCTTGGCAGTCCTGTGGTAATGGTTGGACTTGATCTTATAGGTCTCTTCCAACCTAGTTGGTTCTATGATTCTACATATATTTTTAAATGCAAGGATTCTCAGAGATGCAGACCTGCTACTTCTGTGTGCACAGAGATGGAGAAGACACAACGCAGTAGGCCAGGAAGCTGCCCACAAGTCAACCATCTCACTTCCTATTGCGTTATGGTGTTAGAGGAGTGGTGTTTTGTTTGAAGTTGTTCACTTGCTATGAATAACATTTTTTTTCCACTCAAAACACATGAAAACCACTCTGAAACCATTAGACACAGCACACAAATTCTAATCATATTGTGTCACTACTTTGCAGCTACTAAATGAAAACAAAGAGCTCTTCTGTCAGTTCGTGTGTCCTTCCGTAGTAGCTGCTGCTCTGGTGGGCTACAAACATGTACACAGAAAAAACACAGCCAAAGAAAATATGCATCTACCTTCACTATGGGCCATAATGCCAAAAACTGAATACAACAGCTGGTAAAAAGGGCATGAAGTGTGCAAAAAGGAATGTCACAAACTATCTCCACCAGGAAGATTACTAGGCTCCAAGCCAACATGCCACCTAATGCGAAGAAAATGCATGACTAAAGGAATGTTTTTTCTCTCATTTCTCTGTTATTTATCTGTCTTCTGCAGCTCATGAGACCTCTGCCACTCTAAAGCCGATAGCTTTGTGTGCAGCAGTGTGCATGTACCTAGCATTTAGGACAGAACTAAAACACAGGTATTCTCACCCTTCACCAGAATACAAAATCTCCTTTCACTTCTGTAGCTATAGAAGCAGGACAGACCCTCAAACAAAGGGTTTTTTTAAGTAAAAACAGACTGGGGATAAGTTCTGAGCAGGAGAGATATGAAAAGAAGGGCTTTGAGGGGGAGAGGGAATAATTTATGGGATCAGAGGGAAATGCTCTGTGGAGTCCGCGCTGTCTCACGTTCAGCCACATAAAGTCTAAAGCATCTTCTGGTTCCTCTCCATCACTGCTTATCTGATCGCAGCATAGATCAGACCACCTACATGAGCCTCTAAATGGAGAGCCGAAGAGCTCTTCTCTAAAACCTCTCGCTATCACACAACCAGAATTACCACAGGTTTCGGCTTCTTGCACATGAGAACGACCTGGGGAACCCACTGAATTGATACACAGATTATTAATGTTTTAGGAATGTGCCTTTCCCACTGTCTAGCCAGTTCCATTTACAAAAACTAGTACATGAGTTACACACATTGGAATTTTAGTAATAATTAATCCTTGACCTGTTCAAAGGGCTGTACAAACATTAACTAGCTAATCCTCAGAATAAACATGCACTGTAAGTAACACAAAAACCCACCCTGAAAGCCCACAACACAAAAATGAACAACCTGAAAAGGAAATCTTGCCTCTTCTGCAGAGGGAAAAACTAGTGTGATAAATGTAATACCTTGGGCTGGGCCCCCGAAAGTCACTACCAGTCATTAACTATCACAGGTAGTTAATGTAAGGAAGGTGAGAGTTCCTAACTCCCAGTCCTGTACTGGTGCCTCTAGGATGCTATACATTTTAGCTCTTGATGTCTCCTTTCTCATTAAGCTTTGCATGTGATGGCCTGCATGGATACAAGAACTCTAGGGCAAAACAAACAACAATAACAACAAGGAACCAAATAAGTATTACACAGAACACCGTCCAAAATTATTTGAAAAGCCCATGTATGAGCTTACAGACAATACCTTGGTGGCACGTATCTGCCTGTGAAGGTCAGTTAGTTGTTGGATTTTGTATTCTAGTTCTGTAATCTGGGCTTGAAGCCATGTCCAGCGGCTGCCAATTCTAGCTCTGTCTGCAAGCCACTTCCATTCAGAAGTATAGCTGCTGTGAAGACAAAATGCTGGTTAGTCCAAAAATAAAGATAACCACATTTGCACAAGAACATTTCTGACAGCTGCTCTGCCTCATGTTGCAAGCATCTCAGTTGCTTTCAGAAGATATCTGATTATACCCATCCAGTTTCACATCAGCTTATTTCTGTAACTACAGAACTTGCCCAAACCAGTACAATCAATGTTCACTGGCTATTCCCAGGCTAAGCCAATTTACTGTTCTGTATTAGAAAACTCAGAGCTAGAGAAACTATCAGTTAATGTAGATTACAGATTTGTAAAGAATACCAGTAACTCCACCAGCAAGAACCCACATTCTTACACCACACTTCCTCCCACAAGCTTCCATGAATACTGTTTGCTAACAATTGGAATCTAATAAAACACCATCCAGCAATGAGCAGCTAGATATCAAGTCACTGCCCCAAAAACCAACTAAGTAGTTTAGATTTCTTTTATTCAAGCTAGTTTACAAGTATAGCTGTGGCAGTATAGCATACTTAAGAGGTCACTCTTACTAAGAGGTCACTGCTCTTTACTAAGAGGTGTGTTTTGTAACACAAAAGATATGCCTCCTGGTACTTGACATTGTCATTAGCTTAACTTTATTATGCTAAATTCATCAGCAAATATTACTCAACCTACACATTAAATAAATGAATGGCATAATGGCACCACTCAACAAGGAATCTTAATATCCAGTAAGTTTAAGCAACAGAGACAACACAAAGCAAAATTTTAACATGCAACTTTGACTATCATTAACTGAGTTTATTTATTTAGAGAAAATGACTGGTGACTTTTTCCCACTAAAGTTGTCAAGTAGTTTGCCACAGCTAATTTAAAAGAACTATGAAACCAAAATCAATCTACTTCTGGAAAAGAAGTGTTTTTACTCAAGTTACTGGGATAAGCTGTTGGATCTACATTCTGGGTGACACTGTAAGTAAGTTTTGCACACACAGAGTATATAATCCCCTGTAACCCAGGCCACGAAGAGTACTGAAGTATCAAAAACGATACCAGAAAAAGCAGATGCTACTGAACTGGCGTAAGAATATCATACACATGCAATTATTTTAGGCAGAAAACTACCTCAACAACTGAAGAAGGTAACACATCACCCTGCAGAAACTGCTAGACATTTACTGAGTATGACCAAATTTGAGAATCCTAATATTTTCAGGGCAAAGATTATAAAACATAATATAAATCGAAACCTTAGAACTTTCAGTCTACTTTAGCTATCATAAACAGTAAGTATAGACACAGTCTTCAGTAGGTTACCTGTAAAATACGTAATTTCCCCCTTTTTAAACATGAATTCTCTGCCTACATAATTTATAACTAGTTGAAACTCTCTCCTATGTAGACAAAATTAAAGTATAAAATTAGACGGGAGTTTGAAATAGCATTTGGATTTAAATAGGACATGTGCAAGCAAATAAAGCAGATTACCATCAAAAACAAACTGAAAGACCTCTAGAAATAGACACCATATTAAATTATTTACATTTTATACATTCTATTAGTGATTCTGTCCTAGGAAAAAACGCGCATGAAGTCATCTTGTGAATACCCATTTTTCTGACATCCCCTTCTTGTATATTCATTATCACCAGCAGCTCCTAGTACATAGCCCTGGTTACTTATGCTTTAACCAGGTCTTTTCCCAAGACCCTTCTGGGGTTGACAGCTTTTGCATGTTTGTGCTTCTGGAAGTCATAAAATACAGTTTTCATGGAAAGGGGGAAGAGAAGGGCAAGACAGAGCTCTATAAAATAATGTGTTTACAAGAAGTGTGGTGGCTCTTAACACTTCAGATTTGTCACAGGACTCTGGGATGGCAAAAAGCTAGTCCTAAGACAGAGCTGCTTAATGAGGCTGACAGAAATCCCTTAGTTAATCATTTTTACATGAAAAGATAAATAGGAATAAGGGGGTTAACTTGAGAAAAACCCAACAGTAGTGTTGAGGTCCCTATTTCTAACTCCTTTCTCAAAAGACAAATGAGCAACCAAAACCCAACACCCCACAAACCAAGACACTGCAACAAGAAAGCTCAGGTGAAAGCAAATAGATCACACCGAAAGAATTATCCCCCCAAGGTAGATGCAACAATTTGGGAATGAGGAGGAAAAGGGAGAAAATGAGAGGAAGAAGCACCCACATAGACAGGAAACAAAAAGCAGAATGGAAAGGGCTGGAACTGGACTGATGTCATATATACTGTATGGAATCAGCATGGCACTAAAGGAATCACAAGGGCACTAAGGGAATCAACAATCAACGTGTTTGCAGGATTTTTTCTTAACCACAGCATTAAATCTTCAATTGATGGCATTCACTGTTAAGCATACTGCATGTATTTTTGCCTCATTGTAAAACACTATGCAAACATTTCAGAAGGTTTTAAAGTGTACTATATAATTAAACTAACAGGACTTAATTACACTGTAATAATGATGTCCTTAGGCTCCTCTGTAAGGAAGAGTTTCCACCGAACCAAGCACAAACATTCTAAGCTCATGCTAAAAGAAGCAACTTCAGCTTCTCCCTCCTGCCAGCCCAGGACACCCCTCGCCCAGCGCCTGCACAAGCACTTCAGCAGCTTCATGGTGACATGGAGGAGGAGCTGCTAATGCTCCACTAACTTTGGAGGCAGGGTGAACAAAGCAAGGCTAAGTCGGGATCCTCTTCCCAGTTTTCAAACCTTGCAGACAGATAGATACACACATGGGAAGAAGATGCATGAAGCTCAGCGCAATGTAGCAAGCGTGAGCTCACATTTATAGGATAGGAGGTGAGAGCACTGCTAAATTCTGTTCCTATCTCTGTCACTCATATTTGTTTGATCCTGCATTATTTACCTGACATCTTTGCCTCTAAGTCTACTTCTCTATAAACTATTTAGTAAGGCTTGTAACCCTTCAGAGGAAGATAAAATCACTTCACGCTATCTTCACACTCCTAAAGTTAGTTGTCTGCATGCAAAGTAGTATGGTCTCCCAAGTGACAAACAATAAACTGCTGCAGTTAAAACTATCACAATTAAAAAATAAATAACTTAAAAAGTAGGTATCTGTAAATCTGTTGCTGGGATGCTAGAGAGCACAGCACAACATTCGCTCACTGAAGAGAGCTGATTCAAGGTGGCACCTTGAAAAAAATCCAGAGAACGAAAAATAAAACCATGAACCAACCAACCAACCACAAAGAGCTACAAAAATAACCAGGCCTGTTACTGAAGGAGGAAGTTAGAGCAGGTGCTGAAGTAGAAGCTCCTGCTCTTGTCCTCTGTTGGGAATGAGACAAGAAAAAAAACAGTTTCTGTCTGTCCTGCTTCCTGTGTGTTCCTTTTGCAAAGCATCTTTACTTAGTTTCTGTGTTTGCAATTCCTAACATCATACATCCTCCACAGGAACTGCAAACTCAATATAAACCATGTTACACGTGCAAAGTTTCCCATGTTCAGAACTGTAGCACAGTTATTTTGTTATTGCTCTTACGATGACTCTAAACCTGCAGATGACCTCCTGCATTCATCCAGGGCTATTAGAACTGGAAGAGAACAGAGAAACGCAGACTTTGTATGAATGAAACATCTCGTTAAAAGTTCCCTAGAAAAACATGCTGGAATTGCATTAGAGGCAAAAGCTGTTACCACATGAGATTCTGGCATGCATTTCCCCTGTTCTGGTTGAACCACAGGAGGTCAATCCTGCACAACTTGCAAGCAAAGAAAGAAAGAAAGAAAGGAAAACTGCAGAAGAACAAACAACCCATGAGGAGCATGGCCACAAATGTAGACAATCAAACTATGTACCTAGGAAGGAAGCAGACATTCAGGCTGTAGTGTGCTCCCAAAAGTATGGGAAAGAACTCAGCTGGGAAAGAGATTTATTGAAGAGCACTAAATAGTATACTTTTACTATTATATATATAATACTTCTACTATATATATACTTCTACTATAACATACTACTGCTTGAACTGAAAGAAGTCTTCAGCTATGATCTGTGGACAGAATATATGCGTGAACCCCTCAGCACTCTCACCTTCCCCAGAAAAGGACGGAGAACTGAGAACAAGCCTTGCTTTTATGGAGCCAAACCAACATCTCAGAATGCAACAGGACTATGAAAGTATTTCCAGGGCCTCCAGTATGTTATAGGTGAGTTTTATGTTTTCCCAATAGCAGAGATTAGTCTGTTCTCTCAAAAAAAAACCCAAATGAGGCAACCTGAGTGCAGAGGAACTGTTAACCAAGATAAAAATGCTGTGCTAGACACACACACTGTTGGGTTTTATGCTTGGGGGTTTCTTTGTTTGTTTGTTTAAAGAAAAGGAGAAAGGGTGAAATTTAAACTTCTCAGGCATATTTTTTTCTATAAACAAAACAAGAAGCCTGAAAACTAGTTCATAAATAACGAAGGAGAAACAGTGGTGTTTAAAATGCACAAAAAATATAGATCCTGGGATTAACAGTATGTATCTGGGCAGGTTGATTCAAACAGGTATGGTGAGCACAGGAAAGAGCATTTTAGAGCAGGCAGACCTGTGCCCAAGGCAAAGTTCTCCACAATTCTCTTACATACTGAGGCCTTCCAGCCTTCTACCTCCCACTGAGAACAAGTAGCATACCCCTACCATGACACATCTGTAAGGACAATGACAGCATGCTTCCTACTGAACAGGAAAGGAGCGGGCCTGCAACAGACCCACATCTAAACTCCAAAATGCAGCTTTGCCAACCCAAAACACAGTCTCCTTCAAAAAGGTTTGTATCAAAGAACAGCAGAGTTTTCAAGTTACAACATTCTTAAACACAAGCAAGCCAGAGAACAAGGCACCCACACAGTGTGGGTGGGAAAAACTTCTCCAATCCCAAACTCCTGCATTAAACGTAAGAGCAGCAGTTGTTCCTGACATTCCCTCACACTTTCATTTCTGTTCAGTCTCCTAACACAGTGTATTTTGCTATTTCTTCCA